GAGAGAAAGTGCAGATCATCTAGTACTAGTCTTACACTTTTTACTTGAGCACTTGGATTGGTGGTGACACCTTCTACTGAAAATTGGAAAAAAGAATAGGATTGGGGAAGAAAATCAAGAGTTTTGCTTTGGCTATGAATTTCAGATGTCTGGGGAGATTTCAGGGGAAAGATCAGGCCAGAGATACAGTCCGGTATTTGAATGTGTAACATATTTGTGGTGTGTGAAGCCAGGGAACTAGACAAAATCACACGGGCAGAAGGTGTTGGTAAAGAGATGAGAAGTAGGCTGACCCAACAAAGTGGTGGAGAAATTGGGAGAAGGTAGCAAAGCAAGCAGAGCAAACATGGCAGACCCAGCTGGCAGGAGGAAAATCGAAAGTGGTATCACAAAAGTCCAGAGAAGAAAAGCCAGATGCTTTGGGCCAACTGGGTCAAAAGCAGCTAAGAGATCAAGTAGGAAGAAAATGGAAAAATGGGTAGCTGGAGGGGAACTTGGGGTCAAGGAGTGGTATGCATCCTTAAATGCTATCATTTAATTTAATTTTGGGGGGCATGTCTTTTAAATCTCTTCTAATCCATAGATTACCAAGGAGGGGCTCTCTTTTAAAGATGAGAGAAATGGGGGGGGGGCATGAATGGCTCAGTTGGTTGTTTCTGATTCTTGATTTCAGCTCGGGTCATGATCTTGTGGTTTGTGGGATAGAGCCCCACATCAGGCTCTGCACTGACAACAAGGAGCTTGCTTGGGATTTCTCTCTCCCTTCACCACTTGTACTCTCTCTCTCAAAACAAATAAATAAACATTAAAAAAAAGATGGGAGATACGGGACATATTTGCATGTCAATGGAGATGATCTGCCAGAGAGAAAGAGGCTGTTATGAGAAGGCTTTATGAGTGTGCTTCAGACAATAAGCAGAAGCAGAAGATGAGGCGCTTGCGTGATTCAGTCAGTTAAGTGTCCGACTCTTGGTTTCAGCTCAGGTCATGATCTCATGGTGAGATCCACAGTGTGGAGCCTGCTTGGGATTCTCTCACCTTCTCTCTCTGCCCTTCCCCTGCCTGTTCTGTTTCTCTTTCAAATAAATAAGTAAACAAATAAACTTAAAAAAGAAAAAAGCAGCAGCAGTGGAAGAGCTGGCCTGTGGTAGGAGCAGAGACATTTGGTTAGTAATAGGAAAGAGGACAGAGAATGAGTAACGGTCGATTTGGAGGTGGGGGGGTGGAGTTCTCAATGAAAAAAGAGGTGAAGGTCTCACCTGGCTCCTGCACCACTGATACCCAACGCAAGGGAAAGAGTCTCCAGGTCTCCCAAGCTGCTCCGTCCCATTTTCACTGGACTCTCCCTGAGAATCCCACTTTCCCTGCAGCCTTCTCAGGCAACGGGTAACTACCCCTCCCAGCAGGGGAGGGAGAGTGCACGTCCTCCTTAACCTCCTTCTGAACCATTCATTTTTGTTTTTCTTGTTTTTGTTTTGTTATGGCTTTTTGTTTGTTTAGAGAGAGAGAGTCAGGGAGGGGTGGAGGGAGAATCTTAAGCAGGCTCCACACCCAGAACAGAGCCCACATGGGGCTTGATCCCATCACCCAGAGATCATGACTTGAGTAAAAATCAAGAGTGGGACACTTAACCACTGAGCCACTCAGGCGCCCCCCTGACTGAACCACCCAGGTGCCCTGTGAATCATTAATTTTTCTCCTCAATACAAACACACACAAGCAGCCCCCCCCCCCCCCCGCCAGTACTTGGCATAGTACCTGGCACACCACGGATCATTCAATATTTGTTTCTAAAAAATAAACCAACTCTGCCCTTTTAAGAGTTAGTCCGTTCAGCTATATCACTTATTCCTCCTGGTCACAGGGTTCTGTAACCATGACTGTTGCCATCATCCTGGTCTTGCAATTTAGTGTCCTCCAACTCCGAGAAATTAATCTCTGATCCTCTAGGTTGTCACTGTTAGGACCGCATCTAAGACCCGTCAGACCTTCCCTCCCCTGCCTTTGGAGGAGTCTCAGCGGGAGGTAACACTGTGTTCTCTCCCAGAACTTCCACTCCACCAATCGTGTGGCATAGCTCCCCCTTGTGGACAACCACACATATACATGCTCTACGTTCCCAGTTACGCCAAGACTATTGTGAAGCTCCTGGTAAAAAAGAATGATTCATTCATTCATTCATTCATTCAACAGACATCTTGAGCACGTGTTATGAGTCTGGCATATTTGAAATTATCTTGAGGCTCACGGTGTCACTGTTATCACAGGAGCAGACATCAAACCAAAAAGGCAGGGAGAAAACCTCATGCTTCTCCTGCCTCTGCCTCAGTGTGTATGTGCAGTCCTTCCTCCTCCCTCCCTCAACAGACGTGCAACAAGGATCTACCCTAAGCCAGACCGCACTGACGATATAAGGACAAAAGCGGTAAGAAGTGCACTGAAACTCTACACAGTCTCCCTGTGGCTCTGACCTACTGAGTTTACCACCACCCAGGTAACCTCCCTCAGGCAGTGCTTTCCCTCTGCCGCTCCACTGTTCATGGTTCACTTTTCAATGGCTCTGTGCTGCCCACTGGAGAGAGTACCCGCTACTCTTCCATCTGGCATTCAAGGTGCTCCTCAATCTGGTCCTAGTCTGCCTTTCTAGATCTTCCTGGACTGAGACTTCTACCAAACTTCCACTAAATGACCTACTTGTCACTCTTCAGATACATCTTGTATATCCCTATGTCTGGCGCTTCATTTATACCATTCCCCTTTCCAGAATGCCCTTCTCTGCTCCTTTCTACCTTTCCAAATCCTTCCCATTCTCCAAGGCTCAGCTCAAATACCACCTTCTCAGCAAACCCTTCTTTGATCCCTCTTGTTGAAAACAGAATTTTCCTTCGTTGAGCCACTCTAGGAATGGGGAAGAAAACAACATCCTGTAAACACCTGTCATGGGCTCATGTTAAAAGCATACACTTTAGGGGCGCTTGGGTGGCTCAGTCAGTTAAGTGTCTGATATTGCCTCGGGTCATGATCTCGTGGTCTGTGGGTTTGAGCCCTGCATCTGGCTCTGGGCTGACAGCTCAGAGCCTGAAGCCTGCTTTGGATTCTGTGTCTCTGTCTCTCTCTGCCCCTCCCCTGCTCACTCTGTGTCTCTTTCTCTCAAAAATAAATAAACATTAAAAAATTAAAAAGCATACACTTTGGAGTCAAATCTGGTTTGAATGTAGTTAGTTGCATAACCTTGGGAAGCATACTTAATATCTCTGTGCTTTGATGCTTTAGATTGAAAAACATAAAAATACTTGCCTCCACCATTTATTCATTTGAACATTTGAAACTGAATATGTGCCAGGCTCTGTACTCTTGTGGTTCTTTTGAGAATTAAATGAAGTGATGCATAGAAAAGTGGCTGGCACATAGACATACTGAATATATGAAAACTTAATTCTACCACCATCCGGTTTATTTTCTTAGGAGAAGGACAGTCCCCCAGGTAATTTTTGTTTAGTGGGGAAGCACCACCTAAGACTGGGAACCAGAGCCAGCTCTGTACCCAGGCAGGTCCTAGCAAATGTCAAAGCACCGTGTGGCTGATTCAAAGTACAGAAAGTGGCTGTCATTTTCTGAATAACTTGCTAATCAGACTGAATCAGCATCTTCCACTTGCCAAGGTTACCCAGTGTACTTAACATGGTTCCTTGTGACTAAGAGAAAACTCTTGTTATTTATTTATTGGAGTATAAGCAGGGGAGGACAGAGTGCAAGAGGGGAACAGAGGATCCAAAGAAGGCTCTGCGCTAATAGGCTGACAGCAGAGGGCCCAGCATGGGGCTCAAACTCAGGAAATGTGAGATCAAGACCTAAGCAGATGCTCAGCCCTACTGAACCACCCAGGTGCCCCGTGACTAAAAGAAAACTCTTAACAGTGAATCTGCCTGACTTACTTCGCTCAACATAACACTCTCAAGTTCCATCCATGTTGCTACAAATGGCCAGATTTCATTCTTTCTCATTGCCATGTAGTAGAGAAGGACAGATACCATATGTTTGCATGTATAGGTGGATTAGGAGGAACTTAACAGAGGACCATGGGGAAGAAGAAGGGGAAAAATAGTTGGGGAGAGGGAGGGAGGCAAACCATGAGAGACTCTTGAATGCTGAGAACAAACTGAGGGCTGATGTGGGTGGGGGAGAGGGGAAGGGGGGTGATGGGCATGGAGGAGGGCACTTGCTGGAATGCACACTGGGTGTTCTATGGAAATCAACTTGACAATAAACTATTTAAGGGGGAAAAAAAAGAAAAAAAACTCCACTAAGTTGAAAAGATATATCACCCTCATGTTCATTACAGTATCATTACAATAGCAAAGATATGGACACAATCTAGTGCCCACTGATGGGTGAATGGATAAAATAATTGTGATATATAGATATACAATAAAATAAATAAGTAAATAAAATAATAAATAAAACAAAATTAAAAAAAAGAGTGAATCTGTCTAGGGGCTCCTGGGTGGCTTAGTCTGTTCCTCAGGTCATAATCTCGAAGTCCGGTTGGTGAGTATGAGGCCCCGCATCGGGCTCTGTGCTGACAGCTCAGAGCCTGGAGCCTGCTTTGGATTCTGTGTCTCCTTCTCTCTCTGCCCCCCCCCCCCACTTCCACTCTGTCTCTCAAATATAAATGAATGTTTAAAAATAGGGGCGCCTGGGTGGCTTAGTCGGTTAAGCGTCCGACTTTCGCTTAGGTCACGATCTCGCGGTTCGTGGGTTCGAGCCCCGCGTCGGGCTCTGAGCTGACTGCCAGCTCGGAGCCTGGAGCCTGTTTCAGTCTGTGACTCCCTCTCTCTCTGACCCTTCCCTGTTCACACTGTCTCTCTCTCTCCTAGAAATAAAAAAAAAAAAAAAAAAAAAAAAAACATTTAAAAATAAAAATTTAAAGAGCGAATGTGTCTAGCCCTTGCGGTAACTCTGGAACCTGTGGGCGGGAGCAGACCAGCCACCTCCCCTACCTTCATACTGCACCTCCAGGTGCATGGTGCGCAGTACCTTCAGCACGCAGTCCACGATGCTGGGGTGTGTGGTTCCAATGATCGACTGACAAGACAGACAACCGGACAGAGTGGTTACTCCTTAGATCTAGTACACCTGTTAGAAATGGAAAGCAGACTTCCAGACAGCTAGGCAGCCTGGCTGAGCAGGGAGTGGGGGAGTGGTGAGTCAGTGGTCCTTGGCCTCCACACCATCAAGTACATTTCTTCTCCAGAGGAGGGACAGAGACGGGCATCCAAGAATCAAACTGAGAGACTGCTGAGGTTGCCACTGACCCCTCTAGCTCAGGAGGCATTCAGTCGGGGTTAGCTGGCCACCTGCTAGTGGTGCGGGACAAGCCTCCCCCCTTGCTGGGGGGGAGGGTGGGCATAGGCCAGGGAGAGTGGAACTCACCCAGGATCCTAAATCTTTTCTCCCTCAGGAACCTCATCCAATGGGGGAACCCTTCCTTTCTACCTCTTCAACCTTTATCTGCGCACCGGTTCCTGTCTGTTAGCATGAAACGCCCTCAGGCTCACCCAGTTTGCACAAAACTGTCTTTTGGCTCAACCTTCTCTTGCTACTGCTTTTTCCCCTTTACATCTAAGCTTTGCAGGAGCCGACGGGAAGCCACTTCATCCTCCATGCATCCCCCTTTGACGGGCTGCTGCAACTTAAATTTCCCTGCCATGGGACCAAGATTCATCTAAATGTTTCTTTTGAGGACCATCTTTCAGTTCTACCCACACTTAATCTCTCTGTTGTATTTGACCTAGCTGGTCAGTTCTCCTTATTGAAACTCTTTTCCCTTCATTTCCACAGTCCTATTTTTTCCCTGTTTTCATTTTATGGCTTCCATTGCTTTTGTTCAAAGAGGTTTGAGTGGTATATGGAAAGACTAAGAACTCTGGAGGCGCTTGGGTGGTCCCATCAGTTAAGCGTCTGACTCTTGATTTTGGCTCAGGTCATGATCTCATGGTTTGTGAGATGGAGCCCTGTGTGGGGCTCTGTGCTAACAGCACGGAACCTGCTTGGGGTTCTCTCTCTCCCCTTTCTCTGCCCTCCCCTGCTCATGCTTTCTCTTTCTCTCTTACATAAATAAACATTAAAAAAAGTTCTGGAAAAACTAAGAACTCTGGAGTTAGAGTTGAATTTATTTATTTTTAAAGAAATGTTTTAATGTTTATTTATTTTTGAGAGAGAGAGAGAGACAGACAGAGCATGAGAGGAGGAGGGGTAGAGAGAGGGGGAGACACAGAACCCAAAGCAGGCTCCAGGCTCTGAACTGTCAGCACAGAGCCTGACATGGGGCTCAAACTCACCTACTGTGAGATCATGACCTGAGCTGAAGTTGGATGCTTAACTGACTGAGCCACCCAAGTGCCTAATTTATTTTTTAATTAAAAAATGTTTATTTATTCATTTTGAGAGAGAGAGAGAGAGAGAGCATGAGTAGGGGAGGGGCAGAGAGAGAGGAAGAGAGAGAACCTCAAGCAAGCTCCACGCTGTCACCGCAGAGCCTGACGTGGGGCCTGATGTGGGGCCCAAACCGACAAACCATGAGATCATGACCTGAGCTGAAATCGAGAGCCAGACGCTCAACCAACTGAGTGACCCAGGTACCCCAAGAGAGTTGGATTTAAATGCCATTTAGTACATACCTCTTACTTAGTGTGTGGCCTTGAATTAAGTCATTGAATACCCCTCAAGGCTCAGTTCCATCATCTTTAAAATGGGGATAATAATATCTGCCTCCATAAGCTATTGTAAAGACTGAAGTAAGCCCCTGGCACAGTGCCTGGCAGGTGGGAGGCACTTAAAAAATGAAAACTGGAAAGAATAATGATAACTTGGCTGTTTTGTTAGACCTTCCTCCTCTGCTCATCTCTTAAATGCTGGCAACGTTGCTTCTCCTTACTTGGGTCATTTTACCTGGCTGATCCTATTCACTGCTGTTGTTTTTGTTGTCACTTCTCTGCTCATGAGACCCAGTGGGCATCTCTACCAGATGCTAGGAGAGCTAGGAGTCAGAATTGCTTGGGGAGCTTAACAAGAAAAAACATTACCAAAAGCTGCCTGAAACCTGTCTGATTCTATGAAAGGGAGGTCCAGGACTTGGTATTTTTTTTTTTAATTAAAATTTTATTTGTTTATTTAAAAAAAATTTTTTTTAACATTTTTTTATTTTTGAGAGACAGAGAGAAACAGAGTGTGAGCAGGGGAGGGGCAGAGAGACAGGGAGATATAGAATCTGAAGCAGCCTCCAGGCTCTGAGCTGTCAGCACAGAGCCCAATGCGGGGCTCAAACCCACAAACTGTGAGATCATGACCTGAGCCAAAGTTGACACTTAACCAACTGAGCTACTCAGGCGCCCCAAATTTTATTTATCTTTGAGAGAGAGAGAGAGAACAAGTGGGGGAGGGGCAGAGAGGAGGGGAGACGGAATCCCAAGCAGGCTCCCTGCCACTGGCGCCCAGCCCAACTTGCGGCTCAAACTCATGAACCGTGAGATCATGACCTAAGTTGGATCAAGGGTCGGTTGCTCAACTCACTGCACCATCCAGGTGTCCCCAGGGTTTGGTATTTCTTCCATAAATGACCTATTTATATCTTTTTTTTTTTTTTTTTTTACTTATTTCTATCTTCTGCAGCTGGCTGGGCCTGCTCCTTAGATGGCACTTGGGAGCCACTGGGGCTCATCAAGTCACAACCTAACTCCTCCCAAATCAGATCAGGTTTTCCTGCTCTCTCTGGATGGCACACAACTCCGCCTGATGCTAAGTCCAAAGCTGGATGCCATTTTAAATTAAAAAAAAAATTTTTTTTAACGCTTATTTATTTTTGAGAAAGAGACACAGCATGTGTAGGGGAGGAGCAGAGAGAGAGGGACACACAGAATCCGAAGCAGGCTGCAGGCTCCAGGTTCTGACCTGTGAGCACAGAGCCCGACGTGTGGCTTGAACCCACAAACTGTGAGATCATGACCTGAGCCAAAGTCGGAGGCTTAACCGTCTGAGCCCCCTCAGGCGCCCCTCTCTCTCTCTCTTTGGATGATGCCATTTTTGACTGCTTTTCTTTTACTGCCCCGCGTCCCACTCACTCTGCCTTGGAAATGTCTGTCTGACCCTGTTGTCTCTGTTCCCACTGCCATAGTTCAGACCTTACCATTCCTTTGACCTCTTATCTCCCTGCCTCCACTGAGCCTGGAGCTGTTTCAAGAGCTTTTAGTAATTTATCTCAAGACCAATCTTGGAGCCTCTCTTCCTTCCTTACTAGCACAGTGTCTTCATGTGGCCACCATGTCCCAAATGTGCTTCCACTCACATTCATGGGCACTGAGAGGAAGGTAGGGCCCGCAAGAGAAAAGCAGCTTTCCCAAGGCCTGGCGATCTGGCCTCTCACATCTATGCTGTCTACAAATGCTCCCTTGATGCCTTCCCTACCAAATTGACTCCTGTAAGCTTTTCTACATCCTTGTTGCTTGTCTCAACCACTTTTAAGTCTGCCAACATCTTTCTGATCCTTAAGTAAACAGGACAAATCACTCTGCTGGGAGACATGAACTCTTTGCCCCGCCTTGGCCTTCTGAAAGTAACGCTGATTGAACAGCAGACATGCAGTGGGAGGCTGAGCTCGGTTTCTCATGCCTGAGTGAAGTGCAACTGTGGAAGGTAATTTTCAGGTTAGTGTGTTGAATTGGAACCACAGGAGAATGTGGCCAGCCTCACCTGTGCAGTCCTGAGAGTCTGCAGGGACAGCTGCTGAGCTTTTGGGGACGCACAGGACAGCAAAGCTATTAGACCTTTGTACACTTGATTCTGGTACTTGGGATTGCCGTGGACCAATGAATCCAACAGAACCTGCACTTCTTCCTGGGACTCTTCTGATTTAGACTTTGCCAAAAACTCTGCTATGGATCTTACACCTGAACAAAGAAAAGAGGAAATGCCCAATTGGAAGGGATTTATGAGAAAGAGCCTCACTTGAGATTACATAATATGGAGTGAGGACTGAGATGTGTTAACCAAGCCCATTCAAGCAAAGTAAAACTCAAGGCTCAGTTCTTGCACTGCCTCACTGTCTTGTTTGCCTTAAGGCTCCGTGACCAGAGGATTTAGTTTCAACACAGGGCATGTCAGCTTGTCAAAATCTGTTCTAAAGTTTAAAGTGGCTAAGCGAAATGCAGAATTAAACACATGTTTGGGATTGCCATGGGATGATGAACACATACAGCGTTCAGCAGTTTACTAAATGTTCGGATACATGCTGCCTCATTTAATCACCATACCAAGAGGGAGGTGTTAGTCCCATTTTATGGTTAAATATACTGAGGCTCAGACAGGCCATGGGGAGACATAGAGAAGAACCATGAGGAAAAGCACAGCGAGGGAAGTACTTTGAAAAGGCGATGTGTGGGGGATGGCATCTTCTTTATCCACCTTGATCAGGGCACTTGATGGAACATACGGAAATTATAGGGTTATTTACCATTCTTACTATACTGTAAGCTCTTTGAGGACAAGGACTGTATTTTATATATATATATATAAATTAATTAAAATAATTAAATTATTTAAATACTTAATGAAATTAATAAAATCAACTAATTAAATAAATTATTTAAATTAAATTAATAATTTAAATATATTAAATTTTATTTAAATATATACCTAGCATGCATATTTAGTGACTTTATTTCCTTTTTATTTCTAGAGTTATTCATAACTCACTTAATTTCACAAAGGATTTTAGGCAATGGCTCAATAAATCTTTGTTGAATGGATGCATGAAAGACGATATATTTAAAATGGAGAAGTATTTCCAAAACCACCATGGGAAGATTTGAGCAAACGACAAATCAAGAAAATCATAAATCTGACTCTTCTGGTGGTGATGTGGACAGGGGCTAATTGGCTTCACCGTACAAAGTGCTTCTGTGCAACCATCCCATGAAGTGTTTTTTGAGAGCAGTGTGGGCGCTGCCACTATCTCACCTGGGCCCCTGGGGAGACATGGAATCGCCACCCACCCTGTCATACGCAGTACTCACCATAGCTTTCACAAATGAGCTCCTTGTACTTCCTGCCAGAGTTCGCAATGACCTGAAGTAGCCTGATGGATTCCTTCTTGTCCTCCTCTTTGATCTTCTCCAGCCCAAGTATTTCCAAGAGTGTTAGGATGCCTCCAACCTCAAGAAATTCTATAAGGTACCGATTACTGTCCAGAGGAATACAAGAGTAGAAATAAGACAACTGTCAGGTTCCTTGGCACTCACCTCTCTACGGGATCTCAAGGGCCTTTCTTCACGAACTTTGCCCTTCTATCTAGGAAGGGTTCAATGGGCAAAGTGACATAATAATTTGGAAGTTCTTCCTTCTAGCAGCAAATGCAAAAGTTAAATACAATGGACATTTCTTGTGTTTGGTTTTTCAGCATCTGTTTCTCTTCTTCTTGAAATGGTACCTCATGAACCTTGGGGAATCATTCCTCTGCCACTCAAGGGCCATGTGGTTTTGGCAGGATGAGCAGGTGACAGGGCACATTGTCATTCTGACTGCAGTAATCAGTTGTGACCAGTCATGTGAACTCAGTTGGTTCAATGAGGTTCAAAACTGGGGACTTTTTAAAAAAATTTTTTTAATGTTTTATTTTTTCTGAGAGAGAGAGAGAGAGAGAGTGTGAGCAGGGGAGGGTTAGAGAGAGAGGGAGACACAGAATCTGAAACAGGCTCCAGGCTCTGAGCTGACTGTCAGCACAGAGCCTGACACAGGGCTTGAACCCACGAACCGTGAGATCATGACCTGAGCTGAAGTCAGATGCTTAACCAACTGAGCCACCCAGGCTCCCCAAAACCGGGGACTTTCTTAGGAATCCCTGGGAAAGATATGCTCTCTTTTGGGTGGGCTGAGCTAGGATATGTGTCTGGAGCTTCGGAGAACCATAGCGCTCAGAACAGAGCTGACAAATAGAGAAAGAAAGAGAGGGAGGGACCAAGTACTGATGACATTTTTTGAGACATTGGATCTAGTCAGGCAGGAAGTCTGGGTTTCTGCCCAGGTGGTGGAATGTGGTGTGAATGCCAAGGACACCATGAGCCCAATATGCAACTGAGGCCTCAGAATCTCTCTAGAGTAGAACTCACCTGCTTACAGCTGACAAGAAGATGCCAATTGACTTTAGAAGCTTATCTAAACACGAGCCAGTCATATAGCTGTACGTCAAGTTAAAGAGTGAATTTCAGGGTGGTTTTCCACACAGAACCAGATCCTGTGTCTGATTCCTAGTCATCATCTATGATGATGATGGCCCATTCCTGGGCCTACAACTATGGCCCAGGATGACTGACAGTTGAATTGTGTCCTTTATCTGAGAAGGGCCCCTAGGGTGAAGGGGAAGTGGAAACAAACACGGGTGGGGGGAATGATGGCAGGCATGTTCACAGTTCCCCAGGAAGCTTTTCTGGGGTAGTTCAGCAGCCTTGACTATGACAGGCCTCCTAGACATAGACAGCAAGGAGGCTCTGATGAATATAAGGTGCATGGAGAAAGCATTGTCAAATTTCCAAGCCTCTCTATGCCATGACCATTGCACCCTTGGGTCTCAGCACAGTTCATTACTTTGTGTCTCATTTTTAGGCTTCTCTAAAAATAATCAGCTTCATCATTAATTCTCAATTTTGTACTTGCTCAAAGCTTTACACCGGAGGTCACTATCTTTATGAAGAATTGCGTGTCTTCCTAATAAGAGCAACGGGAGATAGTGGAAAAATTAAACTCTGATTTAAAACAACCTCAGTATTTAATGTTATTTTTTAATGTGAGCCTTGCAAAAAGCTTCATTGTAATAAAGCACCCAGAGCACGTGTCAGCTCAGATACAAGGTATGAAATCAACCCACAACAGAAAAGGAACCAGTCAACAATTACTAGGCTCATAACACATCACAGGCTCTTAGAACACTTAAGAAATTAGCTGAAATTATTGCAGCTCATGGAGGATGACTGAGAGCTTCCAAGACTGATAAAGGCTAATGTAATGGGCTGGAGGTAATGGTGCTTTGTTGGGGGGGGGGGAGGAGGGCGCATGAGGCAAATTATCTCTGCTGCACCCTGGTTCCCAGGATGCCAATAGAAGTGGAGACAGATTGGCTCATTAGGAAAGGCTCTTTGCTGCAAAAACGGTGTTTGCTCTGGAGCCAGGCTCCCCTGCCTGTTGTCGCTACAGCTGGGGCCAGGATTATCAGCCCACAGGGTAGTCTCTATTGCTCCACTGTCTTCCACTCAGCTCCCCAGGGGCCCCAGCTCCATGCCCCGTGCCACCCCCCTGACCCTAGGTTCCTACCTCAGTGCCTTCTCCCTCTTCTCCTGAGTTACCAGTTAGGCTCACCAACTTTTGTCACCTCCTTTTCCTCTGTCCCAGGCTAGTCTTGCTTTCATAGTCACTCCTTATACAGATTTCTGGTCCATTATTTCCAGCAATTAGTTTCAGAAGTTTGTCACAATATCAGCAGGTGCTAAGCAGTACTAAAGCATTTATTGTGTGCCAGGCACTGTGCTGCTTTGCTTGCATTGTCACATTGAATCCTCACCACACCCGTGGGGGCTGCTATTAACATGTCTGTGTACTTCATGAGAATGCAATCTCAGCCAGGTTAATGACTTCTCCAAGTCCCAAAGGTAACTGATAGAACTAGGATTGAACCCAGGAGTCTAACTCAGACTCTGAGTTTTCCTGTCAGGCCTCCCTGCCTGTAGACAGATGGAGGGAGTAGGGCTTTATGGATTATCTCCTTGGATGGTGTTGGAGGTGGAGCCGTGGGTCTGCCATGCCACTGGGGAGGGAGACAGTGAAGTAGAGTGGATGGTACATGGGCTTGGTCCAGATAGACCCTTTGCAAACCTTATCTCTGTCATTTACTAGTAAATTACTCAACCTTTTTTGGATAATGTTAATCACCTATTAGGCTTGGTGTTAGGCTCAAAGGAGATAATAGTTGTACATCACATAGCTCAGTGCCTAGAGCATAAAAAGACTCAATAAATGGTAACTAATAATTTTGTCATTATAATATATAGATCCTTAGTTAAAATTTTTTAAAATGTTTATTTATTTTTGAGAGAGAGAGTGAGCAGGAGAGGGGCAGAGAGAGAGAGAGAGAGGAAGACACAGAATCCAAAGCAGGCTCCAGGCTCTGAGCTGCCAGCACAGAGCCTGGTGCGGGCTCGAACCCACAGACTGTAAGAACATGACCTGACCTAAAGTCAGAGGCTGAACCAATTTAGCCACCCAGGTAAACCTATAAATCCTTAGTTTTACTGCTCTATTCTGGAAGTTCAAGGTTAAAAAAGGGGTTTGAGGCTTCTGCAAGATTAGGCGGTAGTTGGTTTTGGAAAACATAATGATGTTATGTTGACTTGTTTTCCTTCAAAATCCACCATAATTAGAGGGCTAGGAAGGAGGAGTGATTTAAAACACATCACTGGGGCAGCTGGGTGGCTCACTTGGTTAGACATCCGACTTTGGCTCAGGTCATGATCTTAAGGTTCCTAAGTTCAAGCCCTGTGTCAGGCTCTGTGCTGACAGCTGAGTCTGGAGCCTATTTCGGATTCTGTGTCTCCCTCTCTCTCTGCCTCTCCCCAACTCGTGCTCTGTCTTTCTCTTTCTCTCAAAAACAAATAAACATTAAAAAAGGTTTCAAAACATGACATCACTTTGGCTGGTCTGTTTTCTCTGTTGTATGACAAGGTCATAGCAAGTTAGGAAATTATGAAAAATTTCAGGTGTAGACACTGAACACACAACTGTATATTAAAAGTGTGGTTCTTTGAATCATTCAGTAAGTGCTGAGTGAGCGTCTAATAAATGTTAGGCATTCTGACTGGCACTTGGGATATGGGGAAGAATGATACCATGCCTGGGGTAATAAGGGCAGTGACTGAGTAAGAAAAGAACACTACCATTTAAGAGGTGGGTGCAGGAAAGAGAAGGTAGAGGAGAGACGAGCCTAGGAAGGGGGCAGTGTGTCAAGCTGGATGGGGGCTAGGGTGAGGTGAGTGAGGCACTTGCTTTGACTAGGAAATTTCAGAGGACATCAAACAACTCAGTAATCAAATAATATTCCAATGTACTATTAAAAAATAAAAATTAATACAAAAAATCCATGATGAATAAAATATTAAAGTTTTTTGTTTTTGTTTTTTTGTTTTTTTTAATATCTTTTTATTTATTTCTAGGAGAGAGAGAGAGACAGCGTGAGCAGGGAAGGGTCAGAGAGAGAGGGAGTCACAGACTCTGAAACAGGCTCCAGGCTCTGAGCTGGCAGTCAGCACAGAGCCCGACGCGGGGCTCGAACCCACGAACCACGAGATCATGACCTAAGCGAAAGTCGGACGCTTAACTGACTAAGCCACCCAGGCGCCCCTAAAATATTAAAGTTTTAAATGAAGATGGGATCTGACCCTGAGCTTGTACAACCATGACTCCCTCCCCTTCCCCTCTCATGTGAAAAGCGCTGCCAAGTGAGATGAGGAGGGTAAAAGGTAGTTTAGACTTGGTGACAAAGGGGTTGCAGACAACCTTGGTGAGGTCAGTGTCACAAGTTGTGAGGTTGAAGCCAGATTATAGGTGCTGATGTTTCTCAAAGTATCATCTTTGGATCACAGACATCAGAGTCACCGAAGGGTGCTTGTGAGAAACAAAGAGGCCCAGGAGCCTCCCTCAATCTACTAAATCAGAACAGTGGGGTGGGGTGGGGAGGCAGACTGGCAATCTGCATTTTAAACCTCTTTCATGCACACTAATGTCTGTGGACACTGGGGTCAACCTGGAGACATACTCAGTGGTATTCCCCTTGGCTTGTTCTAGGCCTGAGTCTGATTAGTAATTTTATCAATGACTTAACTGTAAGAAGAAGAGAGCTGTGATTACTTAAGCCTGTAGTTCTGCCCAGCTGCAGACTCTGGTTCACTCATTCCTTTATTCAATAAACATGTAGTAAGTACCCCTTATGTGCCAGGCACGGTCCTGGGTGTTAGGGCTGTAGAGATGAGAACAGATGTGGTTCCTGCTCTCATAGAGCCTACTATCCAGTGGGGAGGAGACATACTGAGCAGGTATGAACAATACACTGTTGTTGCAATGAAGACAGAGGGAGTGCCGTGACCTGCATACGTAACAGGCTAGACACGTGCCTAGGCTAGCCGGGGGCTCAGAAAAGGGGTTTCTGAGGAAGGGATGTTTAGATTGAGATCTGAGCATTGGAGTAGGAATTAGTCAAATGAAGAGGAGGTTTAGAGAAGAGGGAAGGGTTCAGGCAAGGAGAAAAATATATAATAAAAGGATCTGAGATGATCTATGGAATGCTGTGAGCACCCAGCAGGAATATCCACAAGCACATCCCTAACTCAAACTGTCAAATCTGTCTTCAACCCTGATCTGTCTCTGAGGCTCCTGAGCAAGGTGTCTCAAATGCAACATGTCTCAAAGCAGACTCATCTACTGCAACTCCCTCGTTTCCTTGGACTCTCTTCCCACATGATGGCACCCCATTCGCTCAGTTTCCCAAGCCATAAACATGAGAATCACTCTGTGGAATAGAAATGGAGATGGTAATTGGATTAATAGGTATGGAACTCAGGTTCCAGAAAGAAATGTGGGCTGGAACTGAGAGCCCTTAAACGGTAGTGGGGTTGGCATCACAACTATGAGTTAGGTCACTCAGGGAGAATCTACGAGTGAGCAGAGAAGAGGGATGTGGATGGAGTCCCAAGAAACATCCACATTTCAGGGATGGCTGAAGAAAATTTGGAACAGAGAGAAACAAAGGAGAAAACTGAGAGAATTGGTATCATGGAAACCAAGGAAAGAGTATGTGGTTTTTTTGTTTGTTTTTGTGATGATCTATATGTTCTTTCTTTCCTTCCTTCTTTCTTTCTTTCTTTCTCTCTCTCTCTCTCTCTCTTTCTTTCTTTCTTTCTTTCTTTCTTTCTTTCTTTCTTTCTTTCTTTCTTTCTTCCCTTCCTTCCTTCCTTCCTCTTCTTTCTTTTCTTTCCTCCCTTCCTTCTTTCTTTTTCTTTCCTTTCTTTCCTCCCTTCCTTCTTTCTTTTCTTTTCTTTCCTTCTTTTTCTTCTTGAAGTATAATCGACATATAACATTATATTAGTTTTGAGAAGAGTGTTTTGAGAAGTGGTAATGGTTGATTGACAAATGCCACTGAGAGGTCATGTATAATGACTGAGGATGTAGTCACTGGGTTTTGCAATTAGAACATTGGTGACCTTGGCAAGACCTGCATCAGTGAAGGGGACAGAAGTCAGACTGCAGTGGGCGGGGGAGAAAAGGGAGGTGAGGAAGTATACACAGGGAAAGTCAATAACATTTTTAAGAAGCTTCACCATGAAGGGCAGGAACTAGGTAGAATGTTGGCTTGAGATGGGGATTTAATTTAATGTTTTGAGGTAGAAGGGATTCGAGCATATGCTGATGAAAAAGCTGGTAGGGAGGCCAACATGAAGGCCACCAGAGAAAAAGAATAAGGTTCCTGAGGACAGAGAGAGGACTACACCAGATAGAAGGGAATACCCATGGCAAACTTGATGGGAGTGGAAGAGGTTAGGGGTGAGAATGAGGACATATTTGTAGGTTGGGAAGACAGGAAGGGAGAGAGTTCTTGACTTTGGGGACACTACCTTGATCACCAGATGTCCTAATCTAAAATCTTAGACTCAAGAGAAGAGCTCCCTCAATAATCTTCGTTCCTTTTCTCCTTTGAAGATTGCCCAGTTTATTTCTGTTCAGCAAAGGATACATGAGTCTAAGCCAGGAGGTCAGGCGTACCAGGAACAAGCTGGCTCCCTGGGAAAACTCCTGTTCCAGCTCAGGGGCGGTCTTGCCTTGGTTGGTCTTGATGAAAGTGTTGAGGATGTGACTCCTTGCAACTTTGCCAGCATTGTCCCAGTCCTGTAGAAAACTCAAGAGTCGGCTGATGGCTGCCTGCTCCTTTATAGAAGTCATGGTCAGTCAGTCCTGAAGTTGGCTACAGAGGGAGGGAAAACAGACAGGTTTCCAAAATAGTTAGAACCATGCATGTCCCGTGGGCTACTCTAAGGGTTTTGCTTTTCCAGCAATCGGCTGGAGGCAGGGGGAGTCTCTGCCACCCACATGGATGTTGAAACATTCAAAATACACCCCTAGAATAGGTCACCTCCTACTTGAACAGGCAGGATCTGGCATGAAGAATAGCAAGGTGGCAAACACCTGCTTCACATTTAGGAGCTAAGATTTTAGCTCCTTGGATCCTCTGCTGATGACAGCTGCGATAAGGTTTGCTAAAAACCTGGGTCTCTTTCACCCCTCATTTCACACAGGGTCAGAGATTTGGGGTCTTTAGAGTCCTGGCCCTTCTCATACCAACTGGCCAAGGAAAAATGCTCCTTAACCTTGTGCCTTGGGCTTTTATACTAACTCTTTTAAAAACAACTTTAAAAAAAGTTAGTAAGAATAAAAAGTTCCCATTCCATAGTTGGATTAATGGGCTGTGGTTTGTAGGAGTCTGTGTCCTTGGGAGAGTGTTTTCAGTGGGGGAGGGAAGGTTTAAAATCAACCCGTTTTCCAAAAATAGTTGTGATTGAAAGTGTTATTATCCATAACAAATGTTAGTGCTGATGGGAGAGAGGCATGTGTGATTCTTTTGTCTAACAGACAAGTGAAAGTCATATTTCACATTATCATGGGGTTTTCTGTGATTTACAGAATATTTGTGAAACATTACTTGCAGGGGCCATGATTGATATGGAGAGAACAGCTTGTGTGTTGGGGAGATGTGTATTTCACGAAGACTGTTCAACATGAAATTTACAGTCCCATAAAGTGCTTCTACATCTTCGCCAGAGATCTAGTTAAAAGGACTTTACAGTCTGAAACATCCTAAAATTGATTCTAAATTAACGTTTCCTCACATGTATTTGAGATATTGATGGGGCCCAGCTATCAGAATTTTATTAGGAAGCAATAATCTGAGGCACACTGAGACAGACATACCTACACACCAACCTCCACTGCTCCCCAGAGGACACTGGATACACGCCTGGGAAGGGCGTCCACGTAGCCTCAGGGATGGAGACAGCCACGAAATCCTGTCAGCTTTAACAGCTGGGTAAGTAACTGTGGATCAACCTAAACACAAAAATGACCAAAATCCCTCATAGGATCAGGAATCAATCACTGTGAATGATATTATAGCCCTAAGTTTGGGAATAACTTTCAGAGGCCATGGCCACCTTCAACAGCCAAACAGGCTTCAAGAAAATGGGGATGAATGGCTGTTCTGGATCCCAGGAAAGAGGAGTTGAAACACCACCGTTAGGTTTAAGAGGCAGGAAAGCACCCTGTGCCCACTCTGCTGCTCCCTGTTGCCGTGGGTGGACTCTCTTGAGGATTAAAACTTAAAGTGCCATCAGAGGTGCACCCAGCAATTCTAGGCCAGGGAGGATGGGACACTTCCAGCTGGGCTCTCCCCCCTTTGGCTCCTGAGGTTTCCTTGGACCTTCCCTCTCTTACCCTTTTCTTAACAGGAAAGGAAAACCAACGAATGAAAGCTTTAAAGGTCACAGCGATACAGCTGTCCATCAGTGAGTATAAGGGGCAGGCCCATCACGTGGCGCTGTGTGAGATGCTGAGGGAGATGCAGGGATGAATATGGCACCGCCAGGGCCCCCGAGGAGCACCAGATCTTGTGACAGTGGAAGAACATGAGATTTGGAGTCAGACGGGGAGCCAAGGAGAGAGGCCTCAGGAGAAACCTGTCCTGCAACCCCTTGATCTCAGACACCTTGATCAGAACCGCCAGACTGTGAGATAATCAATATCCATTGTTTAAGCCACCCAGCCTCTTGTGCTTTGTGGTGGCAGCCCCAGCAAACTCCTACATCACCCTCACTTAATTTATCCGTTTTGGGCAGTATTTATTTCTTACTCTGACAGTTGAGGAATTAGCTTTCTCGTACCATGATAACTTCCATTTTTTTCTTCTCCCCTTATCCTCACAATATAGTTTTCCACAATTTATAGTTAAATCAATAGTTAGTGTTTGCATTATTGATCAGTTCAATAAACACTGTCCACTCAAGCCGTAAACTACGATTACATTTTCTTTCCCTTACAAGTTGGTTTTACCTGGAGTTAACAATTGTTTCTTTTTCTTTAATTGCTTAGATTTCTGAATACCTAGGGCTATTTCAAATGTTCCAAACACATGGCAATTTTTCCAAATGTTCAATCCTTAACGGATCAGTTCCATCTTTTCCTCGGTGACTTCTTCTTAAATGTTTATTTACTTTTGAGAGAGAGAGAGAATGAGAGCAGGAAGGGGCAGAGAGAAGGGGGCAGAAAAGCAGGCTCTGCACTGTGGGGCTCAAACTCATGACGTGAGCTGAAGGTGGACGCTCAACTGACTGAGCCACCCAGGTGCCCCTTCTCTGGCAACTTCTTTCCCACAGACCTCTTTCTGCTTCGGTTAGACTGGTTGCTTGCTAAGCTTGGCACACAAATGTTGTCCTAGGATTTCCTTTTTGCCAGTTATCTCTGTTGACTATTCCATTTCCTGGATCTACCGCTTTCTCCTTTGTGGTTTGCTCTCTTGTTTTGTCGAAGTATATTCTTCAGTAGTTTCCTAAGAAATGAAAATCACTTTGTGCATGTGTCCTTGAAAGTCTGAAAGCATACTGATCTCGTGTTAGATTGGTTGGGTATATAATTCCATGTTAGAAATAAACTTCTCTTGTATTGAGCCTCCCTTGTTGCTGTTGAGAAGTCTGATGTCGTTCTGATTTATGTGCCATTGCCGGTGGGTTGCTTTTTCATTCTTGATGCTTTTAAATACTTCTCTGAAATTGTATGATGATATGCGTTGGTGCAGGTGGTGTTTTTCACTTAGTATTCTAGGCCCTTGGTGGGCTCTTTTTGATCGGGTGCTATGGTCCTTCAGATTTGGGAAATTTCTTTATCAGTCAATAACCAGTCTTTTCATTGAAGAACACATAAATGTCAGTGGAGGGTATTTTACCTCTCCCGGGGGTTTTCAGGACTTTCCTACTTTACGGCCTGGTGGTGAGAGGGTGGAGGGTGCTAGATGCCTGGGATCATGTGAAGGACTTGGGCTGCCCCAATGCAGGGTGTAGGCTTTCCCTCTATTACTCAGTTTTCCACCCTGTATCTCATCCCTGCTCTTCAAACTATGCCTGAGGTCTCTTGAGTATGGGGGCCTCCAATTTCTTTCCTCCTTATGCAGCAAGAGGGTTTAGAGTGGCCATGTGGCTTTTGAGAAAGGAGCTCTGGTGAGGGGGCAAAGTGCTCTGCATACAGAGTTCAGCCAGTTCCCCTATGTTTAGCCCCACACCTGGTGCCTGGCCTGTGCTAATTTGTGCCTCCAAGGCACTAAGCTTTTTGGAGGTTAAACTATGTGAACTGACTTGCTTCTTGTCAGTAATCTCCCCCTGCTGGCACTTACTTTGTGATTTCTTAGGATGTTTCAAGCCATATAACATCCCCCTACCTGCTTTCTAGCTTCCAAATATTTGTCAAGCTTTCATTCCCTGTATTTGTTTAGTGTTATGTTAGGGAGGTGTGGAGGGGAAGGGGAGGTACAGGATGGCAGTTGAATCAAGAGCCTCCAGGCACTTATTTATTTTTATCTCAGCTTTCCTTCAAAATAGGACTTGATGAAGATTACAAAACAAACAAACAGAAACCAAATAGCCAATAAGTACAATTTTAAAAAGAATTAAAAAGAAGAAAACAGTGGGGAAAGGAGAAAAATGTGCCACTTTCAGGAGAGAGCTGCTGGGATAAATTCTGTGTCTTAGCTTCTTGACTATCAAATATAAGGGGAAACATTATGCGTCTTTCATGGTGAAGGGAGGAGAGATGGAATGATGCTGGGGAGAAGAAACTAATGTTTTTTAGTGTCTATAAGAGCTAGTCACATATATTTTATGGACATTGTTTTAATCCTCTTAAGATCCTGAGGAAGTACTTATTATTATCTCTAGTTTTCAGATTAAAAAAACTAAAGTTAAGAAAGGTTTGCTCATTTATCGAAGGCCTCACCGCTAAACAGGGGTGGAAATGGAAACTGCACTCAGGTTTGTGTATAACTCCAGAGTCATCTTCTCTCCGTTAAACCAAAGGCACTGATTCAGTTCTCCCTTGTGTTCCAAAATGTCACCAATAACCTCTTGTTGTCAAATTCGGTGGCTAACTTGCTGTCGTCTCATCTTGCTTGACCTCGGATGGATTGTGGGTGACTCCCTTTTCAACATTTCTTTCCTGACCTCACTCTCCCCTGGTTCGACCCCTCACTGGATCCTCCTTGGGTTCCGGTGCTGCTCTGCTCTGTTCTCAGTTGTCTTCTCATGCTCTGTAATCTCCCGGCTGGCCTCCTCTACCCCTTCACTTCATACTACATCTGCAGGCTTTAGGTCTCCCAAACCCTGCTGTCAGCCTGGGCCTCCCTCCTGAGGTTCAGATGCCTGTATCTAAGTGACCAGTGGACGTCCTCATCAGTATGTCTCACACACTCTTCAAATCCTAAGTCCCTAGCTGAGCTCGCCAAGCCCTCACACCTGCTCCTTCCCCTGTGTTGTCCTACTTCAGTAACTGGCTCACCACCAAGATATATATATATATATATATATATATATATCCTCATCACCTCATCACCCAAGATATATATATATATATATTTTGAATGTTTATTTTTATTTTTGAGAGAGCAAGCAAGTGGGGAGGGGCAGAGAAATATATAGAGAGAGGATCCCAAATAGGCTCCACCATGGTGTCTGTGCAGAGCCCAAGGCAGGGCTCGAACTCACGAACCGTGAGATCATGCCGTGAGCTGAAATCAAGAGTAGGACACTTAACCTTAACCGACTGAGCCACCCAGGTGCACCCCCCCCCCCCCAAGAGCTACCTTTGACACATTCCTCTCCCTTACTCTCCTTGTCTGAGTTGTTGCCAGGTTCTGCCAGTTGGCCTTCCTAAATCTCCGTCAGTTTATTTATTTTTGTCTCCACTGCAACTGCTTTCACTGATCCTGTCATCCCTCAGGTGGATTGCTGCAATGGCCTCTACACGATCTTCAGGTTTACTCCGTCCTAATTTTCAGTCACCTGAGATTTTAAAAAATGCAAACAGATTTCCCTGTTTCAAACTTCCATAGTTCCTCATTACTCTCAAGATAAAGTTTCAAACATCTCAGCCCAAAGAACTGTCTTAATTTTGCCACAACTGAAATCTGACCTCCCTCCACCCCTGCCCCAAGTCACTGCTTCCAGTGGGAATGGAGAGGAGGCTGCCTTCTTTCCCATGCTTCAAACCCTTCTCTAAATCCCCCATACTAAATCATTTCTTTTCGAATGGCTGAGCCTGGGTGGCTCAGCTGATTGAGCACTGACTCAGGTCATGATCCAAGGATGTGGGATCAAGCCCCATGTTAGGCTCTGTGCTGGGTGTAGAGCATGCTTGAGATATTCTCTCTCTCTGTCTCTCTGTCCCTCTTCCTTGCTTGTGCACGCTCTCTCTCTCTCTCTCTCAAATAAAATAAAAAGGGGCACCTTGGGTGGCTCAGTCAGTTAAACATTCAACTTTTTTTTTTTTAATGTTTATTTTTGAGAGGGAGAGAGAAAACAGGGGTGGGGCGGAGAGAGAAGGAGACATAGAATCTGAAGCAGGCTCCAGGCTCTGAGCTGTCAGCACAGAGCCTGATGTAGGGTTCGAACTTGTGAGCCATGAGATAATTGCTTGAGCTGAAGTCGGACACTTAACTGAGCCACCCAGGTGCCTCAGCATCTGATTCTTGATCTTGGCTCAGGTCATGATCTCACAGTTTCTGAGCTTGAACTATGCATTGAGCTCTGCGCTGACAGCACAGAGCCTACTTGGGACTCTCTCTCTGTCCCTCCCCTGCTCATGTACTCTCTCTGTCTCTCTCAAAATAAATAAATAAACTGGGGCACCTGGGTGGCTCAGTCGGTTGAGCGTCTGACTTCGGCTCAGGTCATGATCTCACGGTTTGTGGGTTCAAGCCCCGTGTCAGGCTCTGTGCTGACAGCTAGCTCAGAGCCTGGAGCCTGCTTCAGATTCTGTGTCTCCCTCTCTCTCTGACCCTCCCCTCCTCA